GAGTGCACTGCCTGAAAGGCTGGAGAGAAGCAGGCTGTGATCACTTGTTCTTAAACCCTAGAAAGCAAAAGCCCTGGGACTTTTGAATCTTGAGGAAGGTTTTGGTTTAGCATATGTATTCCTGCTTAGTGATAAGAAGTGGCAATACAAAATAGCCATCAAATGGTGACTGACATTACACCTGTGGGAAAATTCTGGATCACCTGTGTGTGGATGAGTCTGTTAGTGTGGAAAATTGCATGTACATAAAAAGTGGGTATCTTAGAAAGTATTTATAACTTAAGATGTGATAAAAAGGAGCTATCATGTTGAAAAATAGCTAGTGTTAAAAAAAATCCAAAAAACAACCCCCAAAAAATCTGTGTCCTGTATTCCTTCAAGAGGAGTACTGGGAGACCTAATCAGAGAGCATACCCAAGGTAGATATGGAGCAGCCACATCTCTTAAAAATGTGTCAAGATTTCTAAGATTTCAGGCATCTTCCTGATTACCTAAGGAAACACGTCTGATTTCCTCATGAGGAAGTGAGAAGGTTTTCTTGGGTGGGGGGTAGGGTGTATTTAAAGATTTTGCAAGAATGGACAAGAGATTTCTTTTTTTTTCATTCCCTTCCTTCTTACTCTGCCACCCATGGGCCAGTCTTTCATGCCAGAAGATTTTGTGGCCCAGTTGACATATTCCTTGCCATCTTTTCACCTTTTTGCTAATTAGAAGAGGTCTGTTTAATATCAGTAGAGGAATGATCTATATAATTTTTTAATAAACTATAAAACCTTCAAAACGGGTAGGTGTCTCTATTTCAGGTGAGTGGATGTTATATTTAAAGTGGTACAAAAACTGGTTGCAACCTGCATTCTTTCAAGGCCCCAGGTTAACTATTCTTAGTGCAAAGGAAAACCTGGATTTGAGACTCTAACTGCTCTGGAGCTGTGATGTATTTTGAGGTGAACAAGAGCTTTCATGCGCAGGCTAGACTATCTTGAAGCAAAGGCTGTGGGACATTCATTGCACTGTCGATGGAGACTTGCTGCAAGTTTGACAAGTAACAAATTTGACACTTTTAAATTGCTTTCAGTGAATTTTTTTGTAATGGTATGTTCTGTTCTCCTGAAAGTGCTGAAAAGGAGGGAATTGAAGGTACCTTCAAACTGATGTGAATGAAGACATAAACAGAAGTATTCATAGTTGAAAGGAAGGAAGATTTGCATTTCTCCATTTTGTGTGATATTAACAGGAGTGCAAAATTGTGTGGCCTGTTTTGGATATGTATTAAGCTGCACGTAACTCTCAAACTCTTCCCCCCAGCTTCCATGGTGCATTTTAGCGTGTACCGTTGGCACTGATACAAATCATAAATGGTGTTAATATGGTCACACTATACCCTTGGCTGATAATCAAAAAGAATTTATTTATTTGATATTTTAAAAATTATGAATTAAAACTTTCTAAAATTTTGAACAGTTAGTTGAATAAACTGCCCTGTAGTAATGCTGAATGATTTGGGTTTCTAATTCTAGCACCCTGTCATTTCTCAATATGGAGAAGGTTTGGGGTTTTTTCCTTTATGAAGTAATTCAAGCTTATGTTTGACTGCATACTATCTATTCTTACTTCTTCTAATAATTAGTGTGCTTGTGTTGTAGTGTGGGTTCCCCCCCTGCCCCAGTTTATTTGTAAATGAGATGTTTTAGTCACAGGACTCGACCCACTCCCGTGGGTTGATTGCTGAGGGAAACAAACCATATGCCTAAGCATGAGTCGTGCCTCTTGCCTGAGTCTGATGAAAATACTACACTGAATGTCACATTTTGGTGACCGTTACGCACAGCACATTCCCTGAGTTTAATGTGAATTGTTACGTTTTTCTGTTGGAGATTTTTACCCAAGTTACTTCTCTTTCTTTTTCTTTCTCTCTTTTTTTTTTTTTTTTTTTTTTTTTTTTTGTCTTAGTTTAGGCATAAATTGGTTGGAAGACCAGTCTCATGCCTGCAAAGCTTTTATAGAAACACATGATATTAGGCTGACAAACCTAAATGTTTATCTTGTGTGTTACTATTGTTTGATAAGACATTTTAGGTACCAATTAAATTTATGGTCTCTGAGAGCCTGAGGATGTTTAAGGGATGCACATTAAATTCTGGATTGCCAAAGAACTGAAACTTTGAATTTCCCTGTCTTAGAAACCTTTGGAGTAGATGAAAAGATTAATTTATGGGGTAGTCTGTGGTAAACTGCACCTTTAAAAACAACTGCTTGCTCTGTAAGACTGAATTTGCCATGCCGTGAAGTGCGGTGCGTGGATCACTATTCACAGGCCAGCATTTCCTGCCCAAGGGAACTCCACAGAATACTGCCTAATGCTCTGGAGAAAGAAGCTGAGAGCAGGTTATGCTCCCTGGATATAGAGAGTTAAGGCAAAAGAATATAAGCTTATTCGTGAAATTGTGATTTCCACTTGCTGATAGCTTATTGATGCCAAGAATTATTTTTCAAGTGCATTTGCCAGAAAAATTAGTTAAAATGGCACCCCAAGGTACAGACTCTCTCAGTCTTTTTTCTTGTGTGCTTAGTGCAAATTTTTTTTGTTCTTAAACCTCAGGCTGTGATTTCCTCAGAATTGAAGTGTAAGCAAGTTCAGAGCAGGTCATTATTCTAATGGAAGATCCCAAAGGAAATACCAAGTTTTGTTGGATATTAATAGTTGATTCTTACAACCATGCCATGATGACTGGCCAGGGCTGGAGACGAAAGAACTTCTACACTTTGGTGGTGGTTCTTTTGGGACAGCTGATGTGGAAAAACAAAGCTGAGCAAAAGAACCTGACCCAAAAAGACAGGACTGTAAGGTCAACAAATCAGCATACTGCTTTTCTGGCTTGTGTCCCATGTAGAGATCCATGAGCTGCTTTATTCCATGAGCCTGGATACAAGAGGTCAAATGCTCTGCAGTTACCACAGTTTTTCTCTTTAGAAATAGTACAGTTACAAGGGTAAGACTCGGGGTCTGTCAGCTGCATGCGATTGAAAGGTAGCTGGCTGAAGCTTAGAGTAAATGAGACACATACTGTGTTGATAGGGGAAAAAAAAAAGACCTTCAAAGAACTGATCATGGTGTTGGCCTTTCCGCTCATTGAAAATGATCCTCTTACCAATTTCTTACATAATGCAGATGCACGCGACACTGCTGTGTGTGGCTGTGTAAATAGTGTCCCTCTGCCAACTTGCTCTACTCGGTTCTGACATAGACAGTTGTTTGGAAAGACTGGCACATCTAACAGATGCTATGAAATCCTTTGCAAGTACAGTTGGTAGATAGGCCAGTGGTACAGAAACAGAATTAGCTTTCAGGGCAATCCCTCTTCTGTATGAGTCAAGTTGATCTTCAGAAGTTGATGATAAAATAAACAGCTGTCCTATTTGTACATTGTTACTCTGAGTCTGGTTAAACTGATAGAGAAGTTAAGAAATGTCTTGGTTAAATCCCATGACCATTTACCTTTAAGTAATCAACTCTTTAGGTCTCTTGCAGAAAAAAAACTGTTCAGGTATGACTTCAGTATTCTTTGTAGGAAAAAGTGTGTGTTCACATTTGTTAGCTACCTGAATTTTGCTAGATGCAGAGTACAGAAAAAGAGTGCTTAAGGTTCCAGTGTGGCTGGTACAGAGAAGACAGTAACTCCAGTGGGTGAGGTTTGGATACTCTGAGTTGGATGCCTGAAGTATATGCTGTAGATTCTTTTTTTAGGTATTTCTTAGACTTTGTTTAGTGACTGGCTTTTGTGTTGCACAGTGTTTAAGTTAAGTGAATATTTTAAGTACATCAATGTTATAGTAATAATTTTGCATTACATTCTCATTTCATGTCTACATATTGCTCAGAACTTTTGTGCAGGTTTTTTTTTCACTAGAAATGGAGTTTTGTTATTATCAGAACTTGGTATCTGTGCCTACATTTTAAGTTCACTTTTCCCTATCTCAAAGAAAACTGTAAAGGATACCTTCAGCACACTTCTGCAAATCACTGTCTTGCAGATACATCAAGTTTTCTGCTAGAGTATTGCTGCTGCTGTTCACTTTTTAGTGTTAGTCCCCATGAGTGTAGTGCCAGATTCAGACGTACAAAGAATAGGCCATATCCAAATCATAGTTTAGATAGTTTGACAGCTGTCAAATACAATTTTTTTTTTCGTACCTCAATGTTACAACATATGCTGCTCTCCAGGGGAGACAAAAGCTTTCTGTAGATAACCTTCTTGCTTGGCTTCTGTTGAGATGGTTGAGTGCTGCTGAACTATGTCCTAAAATTTACTGTGGCACATAAGCCTGTACACTCACTCATGTGTCTACTGTTGGCCTCTAGTGTGGTTGACAGAGCAAAAGTAGTTGAAATGAATGCCTTTGCATGTTGTCACCATAGCTTCTCATTCACTGTTCAATTCACTATTGTATCGCCATTCTCCTCATTAAGTGTCTAATTACTTTAATAGGCTTTCCTGACACCTTTTTTCCCCAATTATGATGTGTTTGCCTGATGGTTTGGAGATGAACTGAAAGACCTTATCATGCTCAGAAATGAGCAACTGCCATGACAGAAGCTACAGATTATGGCAAGGAGCTGCAGGGCTATGTAAAAAAGAATAGGCAAAGGTTGAGGTATTAGTACCAAGAAATTACAGTGAGAAGGTATAGGATTAGACTACGTGGCACTGGAAGCATGGTAGTTCTGCCAGTACTCATTAATGGAGCAGAAACTTTCAGGGATGAAAACTGCACCGAGTCAAATTCCTTCCTTATTTGAGTAGTGTTAATCTGACATTTGTGTTTGTGTGTTGGATTTATGGTTGCTTTTTTCCTCTTTATTCTTTCAATGATGATTTTTTAGGAGAGAAAATTTAGTCCATTGCTTTGATTGTTCTAAGTAAAAGGGTTATTTTCAGATACAAGTGTTAAATCTGTTTAATAATTCTTGTTTTAATTAGTTCTTATTATTGTCTTAAAAGGGGCTGACAATATCAGGAAATACTGGAGTCGTTACTACCAAGGATCCCAAGGGGTAATATTTGTGTTAGACAGTGCCTCCTCTGAAGATGATCTAGAAACTGCTAGGAATGAACTGCATTCTGCTCTCCAGCACCCACAGTTATGTACTTTGCCGTTTTTAATACTGGCCAATCATCAAGACAAGCCAGCAGCTCGCTCCGTACAAGAGGTATGTTAACATGGCAGCATCTTGCCTGTTTGTATTTTCTATCTGCACACCACTGACCCAGTATACCTTACTACCATGGTACCCTAGTTAAGGAGTGGCCTCAGTGACACTTCGCTGTAAGTACGCAGACCAGGAACAGTCCCACCCCCTAAGAACTTAGTCCAGTGCACTCTATACAGGCTTAGTTGTTCTGGAAAACAGACAAGTAATACTTGGATGCAAACAATATACTATATTTTGCTTAAGGGAGAAAAGATGTTTTTAAACTACTCTTATCAAAAGCTACTGGGACAGTGATTTTTTTGTTTAGCTTGTCTTTTTATTTGCTATTAGTTTTAATCTTGCACTACTCCATTACTCCATTCTCTGCAACTGCTTAAAGCAATAGATTGCAGCCATAGGTTGCCTTTTACGTAAAAGCTTTTTTTTCTGAACTGCTGTGTACTGATGTGAGGGCAGAGTTGCAATTCCTTTTCTGATCTGATTTTCTTCTTTTAAGGAGTAATGTCTTTCTCTAATTTGTAGCTATCACATAGTAAATTATATAATTGCTCTATTCAGTGTACCTTTTGCTCTTAAGTTCCTGAAAAATTTGTCTTACCTGCATTCCTATCATGTCACATACCTTTGAGGAAATGCTGAAAGTTCTTCATGATAAGCTCTACTTACTCTTCTGAAGTTGTAGAAAGAGGTAAAGATTTGGTTGTGTCACTCTTGTTCACAAATGTCATTTAAAGGACTCTTCCTATTAAAGATTGTATGTGAAATCTCCTGTTTGTTCTGTGAGTGGTGTTTCTTATTACAGCAGAATGAAAACTGTTTCAGCACCTTCCTGCGTTACTGCTTTGTGTTTAAACTTGTTGCTTTCTTATATGCACTTCTTAGTCTCAAATCTGATCTTTCTGAAGAATGCCCATTAAATTCAATGCAAAACTGACTGATCTGTAGGATAACTGCTATTTGTACAATATAGTTGCATATAATTTCTGTACTGCTTTATTGCTATTTGTGCCTCCTTTCCTAGCGAAAAGAAACAGAGGATAAAAAGTTAAGCTTATTATGTGTTAAGAAGGAGAACTGTAAATGTGACTGGAGTATAGTGTTGTGTTTAATGTGAGAGGAAGAGAGTAAGTGAGAACTGTGTAAGCTACACCGTAAAATGTTTTATTAAGTTGTTGGTACTTTCCTCCAAGAATCTGTGCTTGGAGGGGGCGGGGGGGGGAGAGAAATGGAGTTTGAATTTAGTATATCAAGTTACATGAAGAGGTAAACTGAAATTATGCAGGGAAAGAATCTACAAGTTCTAGGTCTTGTTCATTTAAAAACAGATTTAGGAAGAAGTAATGAATATTTAAAGGAAATTTAATATGGATTTTTATATAACACTTTATTAATTTCTTCTAGTTTATTGTGGAATCTGAAAGCAAAGCATGTATTCCAAAACTTTCTACTTAAAAAATGAAAATATCCTGAGACACAACTGGTTTCATTTTATTCACCCAGACATACCCAGGGTGTTTTGATTTTTACTTTTTTTCATAAAGCAATACCGATTACAATTTCTATTAATGGAAATGCTTTTTTCACACGATCTAAGTATTTTGTATTTTACTACTTTTTTCCTTTTTAAAATGGCCAGATTTGGCTTAAAGTTAATTCTGGATTTTGATTAATACTATAAGAAATGTCTGGCTTCATAAGAACAGTGAATACAATGCCAGTTAGTTTGCTCTACAGCAAATTATACATGAAACTCTCCATTTTGCAGTTGAGACCATGTGGATAGGCTTTTGGGCCTGAACTGAATCTTTTGTGTATTTAGAGTTAACATTTCTTCTGTTTTATTGGCAGTGCCCTCATTTTCTCTGATCCATCATAACCAATTGCTTGTAGTAGTAGAGGAGTAGATCCTTATATGCTTACAATTGCATTTAAATATGTTTCTACTGCAAGCTGTTCTAAAAAAAAATCTTTCAGTATATTATAGCAAACAAGTCTTGATTGCTACGTTGAGTCTGCATGAAATGCTGAATACAAGAATTTTGTTAAATGTGCACAGCTCATGCATATTTTCAGGAAAAAAAATCACTGAATCAAGAGCACAGTGTATGTCTTTGAAATTCTTTACTTAAGAATAGTGGAAAACAAAATTACAAAACAGATGAAGGCAAGTCTCACAAAGTTGTTGCTTTGTCCCTGTAGAATTTATGTGCTATGCTTGCTGTGTATTCGGTCAATTTTGCCAATGTTAAAATGGAAATTTCTTGCTTTTCTAAAGACTTTGCTGTGCTGTTCTTCTCATTATTGAGATGTGAGGTGAAAGTAAAATGCTGAATCATAAGACCAGTCATTATTTCAAAAAGAGCATATTTAAGGATTTAACAAAAATAATATGTTGAGCATTTAGAGTTTTATTAGACATTTTTTCAGAACTAAGTCCATTAATTATAGGTATTTCCTTGCTTTTTTTATGTGTCAGAAGACAGATGAATCACAGTTGAAATTTAGAAGTATGTATGCATTCTTTTGGGCAAGAAATTGCCTTTCTTTAATGGATTTGAAAGGACCCCTTGGAGTATAATTAAAGAAAATGTCTGAGTTGAGTGGTGCGTAATAGGAATTGTAGAAAAATATTTATCTACAACAAAAATCCTTCACAAAATTGTACAAGTGCCAAGCAGTTTCTACAACAGATGTTAGTTATATTTATTGTTGGGAAGTGCAGTTGCATCAGTTTTTCAAAATTTTGTATTTTCTTTTAATGTGTTTTGTCCATGCATTTCTTAGGTAGAAATGTAGAAGCTGCATGCTGTAAGTATTAAGCAATTCCATGAATAGTTCAATGCAAAACTGATGTCTACTTGTAAGAACATCCAAATAACTCGTTTAATTTATGAAATGTAGTTTAATCTAATTCATTTTGCAGGCATGATTAGAGAATAATCTTCATATTATTGAAGTGATCAGGAAAAATTACAGGACTTGAAGTACTAATCAGTAAATGTAATCCATTTTTCCTGTGTTCAGTTCTTGTTGGCTGTGTTCTAGGTGTTTTTTTATTTTAAAATTAAATCAAGAAAGTAAATTTGACATTTCATTTTAGAAACTATAAATTAAGATTTCATTTTAAATATACCACCTCTTATTTCTCTTATGTCAGCTTCTATGGTGTTTATTCTATCTTCCCATGTCAAGGATATATGTATCTTGTTTTGTTGTTCCTGTGACAGTAGCACATATTTAAGTGTTTTCAAATAGCTGCTAAGTGATTTCAACTGAGCCACGCTGAAGTAAAGACTGCATATATTAAACAGACCGTGAAACCCAGTCAGCTGTATTTGAGTCAATAGGTATGCTGCAAAATAACCTTATTTTAGATTAAAATCTCAATAATGAAGAATTAATTATATGTAAGTCAGTTCTGACTGCCGTTTTGGAAACCCCCTGAATTAGTAAATAAAAATAGTTACAAGTGAAAAATAAATTTAGTTACTCAGCAGATGGGAAGATGGTGACATATTGGTTTGGCCACTGTTTCCAAAATACATGGTGCAGTTCTAAAACAGCATACCTAATTATATAAATTTTTTTAATAAGTATCTTGCTTTTGGTTGGGGTGTGCTTCTGGTTTTCCATTGCAACAGTGCTTTTGATTATAACAAGTGCTTTTGATTAGTCATATTCTGTTGCAGACTTAAAATATTGCAGGAGATTTATGGTGATAAAAGCAATGTAAATTGCTTTGCAAGGGAACAGCAGCATTACTATGATTACTAACTTGTTGATTTTTAATTTGAATGTATGCTACTTCTGGCAGTAATATTGGAAGCTGGATATTGCAGTAGATTCCTGTGATTTGAACCAGGATGCAAACTGAGAGTCGCTTTCCTCCCAGAGCAATATTTAGGAGTCACAGATAGGTTGCATTGGAAGTTGACCATAGCCATTGCATTGTAGGAGGAGGCTATGCTGAGCAAACACTTGTGCAAATCTGTTGAGGACTTCTGGAAGCCATGTAGGACTGGCCGAAGGAGAAACCCAGTCAAACCATGAAGCTTTGCCGTACAGTGCTCTTTGGCAGCGTGTTGGTTTTAGGGAGTTTCTTTGGTTTTTATATTTAAGGCTGTTTTCAAGATTGCAGTTGGATTAGATGATCGTTCTAGGTCCCTTCCAACTGAACTGTTCGAAGATCGTATGTGAAAACAGTCAGAAGACTATAACGTTTTGGTGGGTTTTCTTTTAGTTACCCAGAAGTGCAGGCAATTAATACATTTCCTTCATGTGTATAAATTGCTGACCACTAGTACAGGGGCAATCACTGAAGATACGTTCTAAAATCCTGTTTTAAAAAATGCTAGAACTTCTAAATATAGACTTGCTAGTAGACTGAATCAAAAATCTTCTCAGTCTATTTTAAGATTTTTTTCTCGTGACAACAAAAAGATAAAGGTGAAAAGGTTATGTAGTGCGCAGATCACAAGTGCTTTTTTCTTCTTTCATACAAGAATTTACTTTAAAGTTGTGGTACTGATGGGCATGTGAAACTCCAGAGGAAAGTCTTTCCCATTTTCCTTTTTTCTTCTATAGAGCAAGATTAAAAATATCTTTGAATTACAAACAATATTGTCAAAAGCAAGTGTGAAAGGTTGATCCCATGTTTACATAGACTGTGATGTATTTACCTATTTGAGAATATTTTAAGGCATTTGGGTTTTGAATCGTAGACAGTGTTTAATTTGGTTTTCTGCTAGCAGAAAAGTGGAGAGTGACTCTCCTTGTGAAAAGAGACACCTTAGGGATGTGAGGGCTAATATCTGTTACTCTGACAGTTTCTCCTCTGTTTATGTCTGGAAATAATTTTATAGATATACAATGTTGTCTTGATGCCTTAAGTGTCTTAAAGCTAAATAACCATTGTAGGAGAATGTCCAGGTTTGTCAGCATCTGTGGAGGCTCTTAGTGGTGCTGGGGAGCTGGAGCTCTCTGGGAACTGCGCTTTC